TAACATAATAATAATTAGTCTTTATTTTGAAGATGGTGCATATAAATATAAAAAAATAATAATAAAAAACAAATATTGGCCTGTTGAATTCAAATTGTATATTAAATATTAAAAATTAAATATTTAATCATAATATTTAGTACAAGTAATATTTAATAACAAAAAAAGATTTAAAATTCATATTTATAATCAATTAAAATTAAATTACAGATATGTAAATCAATTCAAAAAAAGTCAATAAAAAATTAAAAAGGTTTACAACCAAGGGTTAATATTAAATAACCAACCAATGGACAAAAATCAAAAGTGAAATACAAAATACTTATTTTGTAGTGTAGAAACCAATTAAATTCAAGGTGTTAATACGTACATTCTTCGAGAATAGGGTTCGCCGACTGGAAGGGGGTGCCATGGAAGAAACAGGCCACGGCCGTGGGCATTATGTAGGTGGTGTTCCTGGCGGAGATGCCGATGATGTCCTTGTGGTCAAGGCCGCGGCTCTTCAGGTGCTGGGCGATGCGAATGGCCCAGGTGAGGGCCTGCTGGAAGGTGACCTCCACGCCCTCGGAGTCTGAAATCTACGGATCGGCAATCGATTAATGGTGTCCTGGAGGGGGGGAGTGGCAAAACGGATCGCTTTTCACTCACCTGACAGACGTTCTTGGGCCAGTTGCGCATGCCCTTGAAGATGATGCGACCCAGGGAGGTCTCCGGCTTGAAGGGGCTGTTCTGCGGAATACCCTTCCAGATTTTGTTCTCCGCATCGTAACTGCACGGTAATTTGGACATTTTAGCTGCAACAAAGTCGGAATGCACACCTGGAAGATCGGCCACTATCTGGGGAGCCATTCGCTCGGGGGGCTACTTATAAAGACACGGATCCCCAAGTGGCTTATCTGGGCCGATAAGCATGGCCTAGGCTAAGTGCAAGGTATCAATGAAAGATAAAACCATATCTGACCAAAGTTGACCACACGAGTCACATTTTTGCATATATTTACTGAGACTTATCTGATAGCTTGCGTTGGGCTCTTTAATTGAAGAGTGTCCTCAGGCGTGATAAGAGTTATTAAATTTTGGCCAATTGCCACTCAATGGCAACGACCCTACTGGCTTAAGGTCTTATCTTTGTTCCGGGTTGTGGACTCCCTTTTGTCTGGCTGTCTTATGTAATGTTATGGCACAGGAAGAGATCAGTACTATTTGTTAATTAACTTAAACGCTTTAAACAATGCTTAACAGAGATAAGTTTTATACAACTAAGACTCTGTGGCGCTAGAAGGGTTATTTTAAAACTTATGAATACTGTAAAACCCTTTGAAAGTGTATTGTATTGGTAGTTTATCTTTGGACTTTACACCAGAAATACCTCATGACTTCCAAATGCTCGATACCAGAAACGAGACGGAAAGTTTGAGGATTTAATTAGTCACCAGTGGATTATCGACATTGACACGCGCTCTTAAAGTGTTTATTTCGGGCGACTTCAAGATATATTTGGCTATGATATATTTCGATATGAATACAACATGATAGCCATTTCAACAGCGTCATGATAATTCGGGAAATTCCCTCAAACGCGAAATCTACCCAATTCAGTGCAATTGAATGGGTTTTTCTTAAGGCCATTCCTATCTGATTTTGGCCTTTATTTTCCCTTTTCTGCGCTGCGGCTGACAAAAAGTTGGTGCAGCGAAAACGTTATTTAAATACCTTTGGCGAAAAAGTTCGCTAGCAAGATATTTGCAAACATCTGTTTCCTGATTTTCCAGCAATGGCAGCCGGCAGAGAAAATCAACTTTCCGTTCCCGGTGGCACGTGAACTAAAACCCAATTCTGTGGCAAGGCTGCCGATGATGAAGTTTGGTTGTGGATGAAGTTCCCGTTGCAGCGGACTCGTGGTTGCTCTTCCCCATAAATGCATTTTACCGGGGTAAATATCTTTTTTCAATGTAGCTCATTTTTGTTTGGAATTAATCGTTAAATGACTGATCTAATCTCATTCGAATCAAAGTAGGCTAACTGAAAAGTTCTTATGAGTATTAAAAAAAATGTGTACATTTAGTTACTAAGCCCATGCTCACAGTTCGGGCTTAATGTTGATAGCCACATAGGATTTTGATAAGGTTGTGCTGGGGACTGGGACTTATGTACCCGACATTACTGCACTTTGATTTGATTGAGCTAATCTTATCGGGCTGTAATTATAAGTACGGAATTAATTTTCCCAAGCCCAAACTATCAATGGCAGACGTCATAATGGGCAGGAATTACCTAAAGTAAGAGGAAATGGAATTTGATAATCGGGACTGGGCTATCTAAGGGTATTCCGCAGCAAGACTTTGACAGCAGAACTGCCTTTGAATGGAACTATTATTTGTGGCCGCGGATCTTGTTCGATTTTCGGGACACCAGTACTTTAAGGGCCAGCCAGTCGGAAGATATTCGCGGTTTCAGTGAGTCGGGTATTCTTATGGCGGCTAACTAACTGGCTAACTGGCTAAGGTAGTTGTTTGGGTTTCCCGCCCAGTGATTCCATCGCCATCCGTCGGGGCTTTTCTTTATTTTCCTTCCGTGAACTGTTGGCTGTGCAACTTATTCGCATTCTGTTGCAGGAACTACTTTTTGCTGCAGCTCCGCCTCTTGCAGTTCAGTGTGTTATTATGCACTGGTTTTTCCTATTTCTATTCCTATTCCTATTTCTATTCCCTTTTCTTTTTTTTTTCTGTGTCGCTTCTTTTTGGCCCCGTTTCCTTTGGCAGCTTTTCCTTCTGCTACTGCTGCTACTGCTGCTGCACACAAGTTTTTCATTTGTAATTCAAGATGTCAGTCAGCTGGGAGAACCAAAACTTAATTAAAGTTCCGCACTTTTGCAGAGCCAACTCCTTACTTATCCCGGCCATCTACCGCCATCCCGCTTTTCCGTATGTATTTAGCCAGTCCCAGAAAGTCCGCCCATTTCGTTTAAATTCAAAGTGTCCGTCCAGCGCCTTCTGCCTGCTGCCCCATCCTCGCTGCTCGCTGGGGGTTATCTTTCAGGTACAAGTTTCGCCAGCGGCACCTGCAGCAAATGTCCGGAGCTGCGACTTTGTTGGCCTCGCCTCCGGATGGGGATCGTCCAGGAGCTCCTCCACCCAGAACCCTCGAAAGGGAGCATGTGTGAGCGTAATTTCATGAGCTTATTTCATACTTTTCACTTCTAATTTGGTTTCATGAGCGTTGCCATGAGCAGATTTCGACTTGTTGAGTTCTCCTCGGTGCTTTCAGTTTCATCGGATGATATCGGTTTCGCCGACGACGCGCCATATAAAACATCTAATTTAATTAGCTGACATCCTGTCTTTTTTTTTTGTCTCACTCTCTGTCGCAAGCTGAGCACAACATTTGCCGGAGGAAAATGGGGAAAACGGAGGAAAACGGAGGAAACCTGAGGAAACCCGAGGAAAAGCTGCAGAAAAAGTGGAAGGTCTCATTATGTATGCATTGAGTTTCCAGTGTCCGGTGGCAGCGACAGAGAAACTTTTTGATAACTGTAATTAGCATATGAAGAAAATCAGACTCGGTCAGTTTTCTTTGGAACGCAGGCAGGTGGAAAGCCGTCAAATGTATTCCATTCCAATTAGGAAGCCACCTGGTGAACTGGTGTGGTAATTAAAGAACAGCCTAAAATCAAATATGCACAGTTTTGCTTGCCAGATTAAAGACATTAAATTTATGTGGAATTTCGAAATCTAGTTAATTGTTTATGGCAAGATGTTGCAACTTTATTTTAAGATTTTATTTCCTAAAATACCGTCTACGGAGGTGAAAAAAGTACCAACGCTACTGAAATTCAAAAAGCGTTTTAAAAGTTGAAAGTATTTTCTATCCCTAAGAACTTTAACAAAATATAAAAAATTAACAAAGATACAACCGGATATTTTTGAAATTGTGTATTAGAAAAATAAAGTGTTACACTGGTAAAGCCCCTTAAAATATGTTTATTTGTTAAATGCTTAACATACAGAAATAAATTAAACTAGTTTAATGACGATAGCTTTTAAAATCAGCAAATAAGGGGAGTGGAAATGCAGATGATCCTACCAAAATAAAGTAATAGTTTTAATTTGCTAATTCTTTGCTTGTCAATTCATTAACTCTAATTAATTGTAAAGTCAATGCTGTTGTTTCCCCAGTTTATCCACATAATCCAACCATTTCTGCCCCTATCAACGCTTTCGATCGCCTTTATGGCCATTTCTTTCCCATCGAAATCCAAAAATCTCTCTTAGCCGCTGCAATCTCCCTCGATTCTCGTTGCATCTATAAATACCGCCCTGTTGCACTGCTCGTATCTTCGTATCTGTGGGATTCGCAACTGAGCCGTGGGATTACCAACGTATACGTATACGTATACGTATTGCCCTCCGTTGGCGACAGAAACCAGAAATGCGAGAGGTGGCCAATGTCAATGCCGTGGCCTTGGGGACTGGTGAACGGGTGGATGGGTGGGTGGTGGGTGGTGGAGCGGGTTGTGTATGGCCAAATGCAAATGCAGAAACTGAAACAGAATCGAAACGAAACGAAACGAAACGAAAGTGCCAAAAGGAGAAGGGGAAGCACTACAAAATAATCCAACAGTCGCCGCCAGAGAGCCACTACTTCCCACATTTCTTCCGGCCGCAAAAAGAGGTGCTAGGGCGATGATTAAATCAGTTAAGAGCCATTGGCCACTGCAGCCCGTGGCCAAATCCCCCGGCCATGACGTCCTCACCTCGGAAAGCCTCGGAAAGCCAGCCAAAGCCAAATACATTGGCGCCTTCCCTTCCGCTTGCCGCCTTTGGCTGTTGCCCATTCTGTGTTTTGCTCTCAACGTTTATTTTGGCCTTCTTTCATGGCCAATGATTTCATTTCATGCATTTCGCTTTGCGGCAATGGCGATGCTTATTAGTTGCAATTTGCCAGCTGTGGCCAAAGTTTGCTCGTGCCGAAAACTAAACTAAACTAAACTAAACCAAATAAATTTAATAATTGCTGTCCTGAAAAGTTGATAGGATGGGTAAAAATAAAGGCGGCGGCGGCGGAGGAGGAGGAGGTGGTGGAGGGGGTGGAGGCGGAGGCGGTGGCGGCAATGTAAGCAATATTTGTGTTATGCAACTTGCGCACTAATTGTGAGTCTAACTACTTAATATCTTCATCTAAGTGCTTATTAAGTTTAGTGCCTGCCAACAGAGAAATAAGCTTCTTAGTGGCCATTTAAAAAACTTCATCGTTTTAACCGGACTAAATCATTTTCAAACATACATAAGTGTATTGCTCAGATCTTGAAAGCTCTTTAAAATTAGTGGTTACATTGATAAACAAAACATCTGACTATTGAATTTAAAATTGTATATTTAAATTAAATATTAAACCATATATTTAAATACAAGGCACATAAAATTGCTTAAAATGAAATAATAAAATATTTAAATTAATGTAGAAAATATTAGATTTTATTTGATAAAAATTCATTTTATTTAAGTTTAATTTGGATTAATTTTAAATAAAAATTAAGATATTAAAATTTAATTCGAAAATAATCAAATAAAATTTTAAATATTTAAAAGAAGAAGTAAAAGTATATACTCAAAAACAATATAAAGCAATTTTAAATAAGTGACAATGTTACTTGCAATGGACTTTATAAGATGCCTTCTTCAACTTAAATGGGTAGATTATGGACATTATAATTCCTATTCACGTTGAACATGTTTATGTAATTAAGAAACTTCAAACCCTTTGGAACCGCTCTCATTGCAATTCCGGCATAACTAACCTTTTTCTCATTTACTGACTTTGCCCGGCTACTTTAAACAACCGTGGCTCATTATTTGCTCGGTCCCAGCTCAAAGCGAAATCTTTCCGTGTTTCTTTGCCCACAGAAAAAGGGCGGTGGCGGAGGAGGTGGAGGCGGAGCCGGAAATAAAAACAAAGGCGGCGACGGAGGCGACAAAGGTGGAGCCAAGAAAGGACAGGACCAAAAGGCAGCCGCAGGCGGTGGCAAGAAAGGAGGCAAAAAATAGCATCGGTGGCAAGAGCAACAGCAACAGCAACAGCAACAGCTACGGCAACATCAAAGCGCATTAAAAATTACAAGTTTAGAGTTAAGGTGAAATTAAAACTGATATCAGGGAATATGTATCTATAATATATGTGACTCGCTTACAATTACTGGGCGGTCTCCGCCCATTTTGCAAATATGTTTGGATAAAGGTTAAACATTTTCAATGCTCGTCTTAACAATGGAACAGAGGATGGGGAGACAGTGTTCGGTGTTCCGCATTCCACTTGGATGCACTTCACAGGCCACTTGATTTGACTGCTCTAGCGAAACCACTCCTGGGACATCCCGAAAAAGGAAGCGGCACTCGATTTTGATCTGCTACTGTCTCCCTTGCGGGCTCCATTGGCCCCTGAGCCAGACTTCCTCGTCGGTGTTGTCGTCGTCGTCGTCATCGTCGTTGTTGTCGCCGGCTAAGGGTGAGAGCAGAGAGCAGAGAGCAGAGATCAGAGATAGAGGGATGAGGAGAAATGTTATTAATTAATTAGGACTATTAATTGGTAGTTTGTCTGATTAATCTGTTAATTTGCGGTTGGACTCTCAGATTTATGGCGGGCAAGAAACGGCAAACCGAAAGCAGACATACACAATTAGGGAGCGATTTATACGGCGGAGATCGCATTTGTAATTAACAAAACATGCGAGTAATGGCCAACGAGCCGCGGCCATAAATTAACATTTGCCCAGCGATTTGATTTCAATAATTGCAGCGATTCATTAATTAGCATCTAAGGCACTCGCACACGCGGTCATAATACATACAATATACACAATCAGTTTGCCAATGTTCTGGCCACCCACTTGGGAAGTTCGGTTTGGGTTTCAAGCGTAACTTTTGCCAAGCACTTGCGGGCGAAGTGGAGAATTGGAGAAGTGGAGAAGCAGCAGCAGCAGCAGCATTGGTCCGGCGAAAAGTTGCACCTAATTAAAATTTGTCTTGCGGCATTCTGGTTTATATATTGCTGGACGGACCAAATTAGTTTAATTAAACTGCTGCTTCAGTTTGAAGGACTTTCCGAATTCGGAAATGAAGTATCCAATAAGTGCAGGGGGAGAGAGGGGGGGCAATTCTGACCACTCTGAATATTGGTTAAACAACTATAATCATGCAGCATGCAAACGTGGAATGATAACAAAATATCAACTATCAAATACCATTCCTACCCAACCAGAGCAAACGGTGAAACTATTGACTTAGGATTGCAATCGAAAGAAATCCTAGGAAAGAAACATGGGAACAGACAATTATAACTCGATAAATTTTATACAGAGATAAAAGAAGATATATATATTAGGGCTGCGGGCTCTATTTTTGTCCTATTTTGTAAATACAATTACCATTTATGATTTGCTTATTTAAAGTCTTTAACAATTTTACCCATAAGAAATATATAACAGATTAAATTATTGGCTATTTTTCTTGTAACAAAATAATATGATTTCTGATAGTTTTGAGTAATATAATTTAAATTAAAATACTTATTTTAAATAGAAACCCGACAGCCCTGTTGTTCGTCAGCTTTTTACTTACTTTCTCGGCTGGCTCTTGTGCCAGGGATTTCCGTTCGACGCCAGTGGCCCTTCCGGCAGCTTGGGGCATTACAATGGGCAGTAGGGGGAACCAGAGCGACGTGGATCCGGATGAGCTGAGGCAGAGCACATTGGGATCTGCCTCATGCGCCAAAGTACTGACTGCCGTTGGGCCCTGACTTTGAGATGCTGTCGTGGGCGTCAGCACTCCCAGTTCGCCCTGCAGTCGCCCAGAAGCTCTAGTCACATGAGCGGTTATGTGCTCGGCAAATAGCTCAAAGTCGAAGGGATCGATGCAGTCGCGCAGCTGGCTCTGCTGGGAGTGGATCTGATCGTAGAGAGCCCTTTCCTCGCGGGTCACTGCGAATACGCGCTCCAGGAACTTCAGGTCGAAGTACAACTGCAGGGCAATGTTCTGGCTGGATTTGGTGCACTCCGCTTTGCCCAATCCCTCGTAGTGGGAAAGCAGCTTACCCAAAAGCCGCTGGATAAAGGCTTGCAATACTTTGGGGGGCAGTGTTTGCGGAACAGCCTGGTTTAGGGCCTGGATCAACTGATGCAGATACGTTTGTAGCGAAAGGCGCGGCTGGCTGGGAATGCGAATGGTTGACTCAACACTCTGCTCCTGGTCCTCGTCACGCTGCTCCAGCGTTATGGTCTGCCAGAGCTATAAGAAATTTGTGCAATTTTAATAAACAAATGTATAATTTTATTTAACTTAATTACCGCAAAATCGCTGAGGACCACTTCATGATTGATGACCTTCGGCAACCGCTCCTCGCAATTGTGCCCGGCCAGCACATCGTCAACGATCAGTAGCCAGAATGTGAGCATCTCCTCTTCGATGAGCCCGCAAATGCGCTTCCAGTGCTCGATGCCCACTCCTGCCTGGTTGCCAGTCCACTGCCGCCAACTCGAGGGCTGGCAGAAGCAGAGCTTCAAGCTGGGGCACAGTTCCACCAAGGCCAGGCTGTTGCGCAGGGCCAAGAGCAGCGCGGGGCGCTCCCTAAGCTGCAGGCCCTTCAGGTTGGTCAAGTACTCTGTCAGCTGCTCCTCGGCGGTTTCTCGCAGGAACTGGATCAGCGAAACCTTATCCTCTGTCCGCGTCGACTGCTCCTGGAGCATTACATTCAGCTCCTGGACGATATCCGCAAGGTGTGAGTCGAATTGTTTGCACAGCTCCATGGTGGCGCCATCGTAGCCCTTTGTCCGATTGGCCAGCCGCTTCGGCTGATCACTGAGCGCCGCTGCCAGGCTTGAAGGTAGATCTTCGCTCTGCTCCCGCCAAATTTGTTGCGGCGCCTGCGACTGACCGGCTTCGATGAGCGAGAGGACCTGCTCGTAGGTCTGCTTCATGGCTGCCGCCCAGCTACTGCGGATGATCTCCCGCACCCTGGCGTTGATGAGCGGCACGTACTTCCGGACGTAGAAGTCCAACTGGCTGTGCTTCAGATGCAACTGCTGCTCCAGGCGTACGAAATCTGGCCGGCCATTAGCCCGGGCCGCCGACTTGATGTCCTGGATGGTCTGCATGTTGCTGACCAGCGCGAAGACCTGCTGGAGGTGGGCCGCAGTCAGGGCGTTCATCTTATCCAGCCACAGTTGCAGTGATGCGCCCAGTTGCTCTGGCGTCAGTTGGGGCACCTCAAACTGCGGCCTAAAGCCGGCGATGATTTCCGGCAGCAGGTGAGACAGCTGTCGCTCGCTGCTCTCCATCCGGTTGATACTGGGTGGGCAGGTGGCAGAAGCGCAATCGGCCAGGCGGGCAAAGAGCAGGCTATCACCTGTAGGATATAATAACATATGTAACTCTTAACACCTTTTTTAAGTACAAGAAGTAGGTCTTGATATGACTTTTAAAGTAACTAATACTTTTTAAATCCACAAATGTCGGATTCGTCGCTAAAGCTAGCCCGGCGTTGTGGCGTCGAATTAAACGGAGCCCTTCGGCTCCTTTGTGCGGACAAGTACACGGACAAGTTGAAGCAGAAGTCACACGACAGTCGCATTGGGCGCGGCGATTTCTATGGCATCTACTTCTTGGACAAACAGCCGAGCGTCAACATTGTGCTCTTCCACAACCGAGCGACGAGGCACTGCCACACCCTCTGGCCCACAAATGGTACCGAATTCCAGTGCTTAAACGGCATCGACAGGAACTCCACGCTGGTCAGTCTGGGTAAAACGGCCTACGTGACCTGTATACAGCACCGATCGACCTACACCGACGACTTGCTGGAGGCGTGTGGCGCCAAGTGGTCAAGTCCCCAGCCCATGGTCACAGTAATGCATTACAGGGCAGTGGAAGTCACCCGAACTGTGGCCACTTCCTCCGCCAGTGGTCAGTTTCCATGGGAGTGCCTCTTGATCGTGTTGATCTTCTCCCTTCTGGTGTGCCTGTTTAACAGATTTCGTTAATAAAGAATAGTAGCTCACCCAGCAGACACTTGTCCAACAGCTCCACCGTGCTGTTCAGCACGCCCAAGCTGGCCAGGATGCGCTCCTTGACGCGACGTGGCTCCGATGGTCGGCTCTGCAGGCAGTTGAGGAAAGCGGAGGAGCGCAGGCCGAGGAAGGTTTTCAGCACAACACCCAAGTCGCTCTTGTCCAGCAGGAGCAGGCTCTGCAGGCAGTCCACGGCCATTTCGGGTAGAAGTTCCTCCCGCTCCAGGGCGGCCAGAACCGCCTGTTTGATGGTCACATGGAAGGGACGCAGGATCTCCCACTGCTTGCGGGCCACCGGCAGTTTTTGCATCAGGGCACTCTGTCCGTCCAGCTGCAGGCCCGTGCTGATGTGCCGGCTGAAGATGAAGAGCTCGGTGGCGGCGTAGAAGCGGTCGTTGTCCAGGTGCGTCCAGATCAGTTCCGGCAGAGCAGTGAGCAGCTTGATCTGGGCCATGGTGCCGTAGTAGGTCTGCAGCTTCCTGCCGGCCGTCCTCTGCTGCAGTGCCGCCTCCTTGGGACTCGGATTCGTGTTGGACTGGAAGCCCAGAAGCTGCTGCTCGTTGAGGCTGCGGCAGTTGGCCTGCACGTGACGCACTTGCTCCATGAGCGTGCCCGCCGACGTCTGCATTGCCGCAATGGTGTCCGCCGCCTGCAGGAGGTCCCGGTACCGCTCCCTAGGGGATAACAAGTGGCATTTAGTACGGGGTTCGGGAGCACCTCTGCAGGTGCCACATCCACATCCACATCACTTACCCGACATGGGTGCGCAGCTCCTCGCGCTTGTTCTCCACCACCGACTGGATCTTCTTGTGCACCGCGTCGATCTCGGACACGCCGTGCTGCTCGAACAGCGTGTCCACATTCAGGTTCAACAGATTGGCCGTCATTTAAGCGGAAAATAGCTTTTCAAAAACAATAATAGTGTAGAAATAGAGGTGGACAATAGCGGTGGAGAAGAAATGATGTGGTCTTATCGATGTTTGGCAGTGACTGTCGATGTTTATCCATCCCTAACAATGAGGTGGCTTTTTTTATTTTTCTCCTTATATTTTTCTGTTAGTTTGACGTTTGGCTTACATTTTTCTGTTAGTTCGATGTTTGGCTAACATTTCGTGGTTCGACGTTTGGCTAACATTTCGTGGTTCGACGTTTGGCTAACATTTCGTGGTTCGACGTTTGGCTAAAATTTCGTAGTTAGTTCGACGTTTCGCGGTTAGCTTGCACACTTAGCCTGGTTTCACACCATGTCTTGCACACCCTCTGTTAAGATACTTAACATCAGCTGAAATGCACTCATTACTTAACAGCAAATATGAGAAAAATGTAAAAATTCTTAAAATCGAATTGAACATCTCTTATACAGCTTATATCGATATCTAACTTTGAAAAATGGTCACATTAAGCCGGTCTGTGCAGCCCTTTACTCTTGGCGGGAATAAATTTGAATTTTTGTCGGTTATTCCTTGTCAGTCCAAAGGCTTAGTAGGAGGGATTTTAAGGGGCCAACACTCCCCCCGACAAAAATTTGTATTCTGATTTCCATCTGATATTAAATTTAGATTGCCGACGCAGCTCCAAATTCTGGTGCGGAAAACTATTTAAGTTCATTTGTTGGAGTGCAACATAAATTCAAAAATTAATATAATGCATCCAACCATGCAGCAGCTGCTGGATTAAAGAACTGTTCCTATGATTTAAAATTAGTTACATATGAATCAAGTGAATTAACAAAAGCTTTAAGACTCCACGAAAAATTAAATATATATAATATAACATGGAATACACGAATAAATTAATACATATATTGAATGAATATATTGATGGAATGTATAAGTATATATATTTAAAATCACGGAAACGTAACTTGCAGTTTACATAACAAACTTTTTTGCTTGTATTAAGCGACCATATCTTTTACGGTAACGGTTATAAAGAGATATGACAACCGATTACCAGGTTCTATTGTCAACCTTTGTTTTCCATCACTACGATGGCAGCACGGGTCCGTCTAAACAGAAACCAGTTAACGATGTCATAAGCAAACAAACCGCTACACTTTTCTCGGGGTCTAGGTCTACCGGAATAAAAGTGTGGAAATAGCGCGCGAGTTCAGTATTTGTTTGTCGTTACAAATCGTCGGACACGGCCGCAGTTTTTTCTCCGAGCGGGTTTACAATTCAAATTAGAAATCCACACATCGGTAAATATCAAAAAACCGTTTGTATTTATCGCTGAGAAACATTTGCCCTATATTATCTCTACTGAAATCCATTTCCGAGTTTGTTTTCATTGTATTTAGGGGTTTGTTAATATGACTCAAAAAAGCGCTTTATATTAAAGCTTGAAACAACAGTGTGTGAAATACAATAGCATTAAAGAGTCTCAACTGCTAAAAGTGGTATTTAAGTTAGAGGAAAACTAAGCGAATAACATTTTGGACCTTGATCTACCTGTTCCTATTGCGATTTTACGTAATATGCTTTCTATTTCGTTAACTGTAATTAAAATGAAAAAAACGAAGTTAATTGCTTTGATCTTGAACCGCTGATCTCCGCCGAGAGTGAATTAATTGATCTACCGATTACAGCAACAGCAGCAGAATGTCACCGAACAACGACTCGGAAAAGCCACTCAATCCCAACGAGCTCTTGCACATTCCAAAGTGGGTGAATGAGGATTATTTCCTGCCGATTCTCGAAAAGGATGTGGAAAACTTTGACAAAATCGTGACCTTAACGCCCATTGCGGCCACCGCCCCCGGGGAAAACTACACATCCATTATGATCCGGGTCATCGTGGATATCCTGCTAAAGGGTAATTAAATAAAAATAAATAATAAATATTTTTTAACTGATTTAATAATATTAAATATGTGGAACTATCTCGAACTCGTACTGGAAATATATTAAACTGTGTAAAGAAATCTGTTGATAAATTAAGACTGGACGTAAACATAATTTTTTTTTATTATAAGTAAGAGTCTAACATGGAAAAGGCGCTGAAATTAATACAAATTTTAATTTGATTTGCTTTGAAATCTGATGAAATGGTAGAGAAACTTATGAAAATATATTTTAAAACCAAAGATGGCAAAAGAACTTGTTATATATAAATGTATATCAACTTTTATTTATTAGAGCTAATAGCTTTCTGCTGAAATCCCTAGAAAGTTGTATTACCAAACTAATTATATAATATATATATATATATATATTTGTAATAGATGGCAGCGAGCAACAAGTGTCGTACATTTTGAAAACCATGCTGGAGGCGGATAGTGGAGCGGATGTGGTCAATGGCATGGGTCTGTTTCCCAAGGAGAGGAAAATGTACGAAGTGCACATTCCGCAGTTCGTGAAACTCTACAAGGAGGCGGGCCTGGACATTGAGTTGGCCCCCAAGTGCCTCCATGTGGAGGCCACCGCCGAGCTGATCACCCTGGTATTCGAGGATCTAAGCCGACAGAATTTCAAGAACTTCGATCGCCTCAAGGGCTTTGATCTGGCGCACATGCGCCATGTGCTCCGGAAACTGGCCGAACTTCATGCCGCCTCAGCGGTGGCCAGGGAACTAAACGGGCCATACGATCCGCTCTACTCCATTTCCATGTACAACGAGAAGAGTCGCGATATGTTTGAGTCTCTCGGGAAGCTGCGGCAGGTGCAGTTCCACAAGGCGATGCGACAGTGGGACCTAGAGGATGCCGAAAGATACATCTCCCAGCTGTGGAGCCCCTCGGAGGTATTCGAAAGGGCACTGCTGGTGAATCGGGTCGACGAGAACGAGTTCAATGTGCTGAACCACGGCGACTGCTGGTCCAACAACATCATGTTCAACTACAAGGACAACGGGGAGATAGACAGAACCCTGTTCGTGGACCTGCAGATCGGCAAGTGGGGCAGCCCGGCCCAGGACCTTTGGTACCTGATCACCACATCCGCTTCGCTGGAAATCAAGGTCAAGGAGTTCGACCACTTCATTCGCATCTACCACGAGCGACTGAACGAATGCCTCAAGCTGCTGAACTACTCGAAACCCATTCCTTCGCTCAAGGATCTGCACATCATGATGCTGAAGTACGGATTCTGGGGTGAGTTTATATATAGTATATTGTATATATTATAATGAAATTACTTAATGTTTTCATTCGAAGGACCCCTGACAGCCTTGGGTGTGATGATGGCCACTCTTATGCCCACAAACAAGGACGCCAACATGAAAATGTTAATGGCCACAGGACCCGAGGCCGATGCCGTTCGTTACAGGACCTTTATCAATCCCTACTACGCCAATGCCATGAAGTTGCTTTTACCATTTTTCGATAACAAAGGGCTTTTGAAGTCCGCATAGGTTTAACGTACAATGTAGCCAGTTTATTGTGATACCATTTATCATAAGAGCAAGCAATAAATATTAGTTTCCATGTAATTTCAACATATTTTTACCAGTTTCAATTTAACAATCGCTACTTCGAACTTTGTACAGTAAAAAGTCATTTGAAACAATCACCATGATTGGCTAAAATAGTTTCATTTTAAAAATCGCTAACAATCAGCATGACTAGCTAAAATGGATACTCGTGCTACGAACTTGGCTTTTTTATAGAGTCGAAAGAGAAAACGTTTGTTGCCAGCAGTATTTTATTAATTTTTCTTAAGCTTATACTTTACTCAATGACGTATGTGACAACAGCAATGCGTAGTTTTATTTATTGCTGTTATCATTTCAATTAACGGAACGAGTATCAATTAATAAACGCAAATAAACTAAAAGAGGCTAACAATTGACTTAAACTATTTTGACTTTGCACTTGTTAGTCCCAATCTATTGGATCTTAGAGATTGTCATTGGTTTTTAACAATCAAACAAACACTTATTCAGTCGGAAACATTCCATTAAATAATAGCACTCCAAATTGATGACATTGAGAGAAATAATGCCAGTTCCTATGTCATAATGGGGTTTTAATTGCTCGCTGCATTCAGTCTTTATAATTAGGAACACGCAAATAATACTCATTCACGGCGCTTGTGAATGGGCGACCATAGAGAGATGGAAATTAGCAATTCAAATGAGGTAAACATTTATATGGTTTAATTTTCAAATCATTTGCTAGCTTTGCTTGAAATGCGTTGTTTTATAACGCACTCTACAGACTGATATATAGAGACATATTTTATCTTATCTTATCCTATATCGTTACTTATTTTTAATCCAAAAGTGTTTTTCATGTCTTTGAACTTTGTTTATTATTCTTTTATTTATTTATCTTAAATAACCATAGGAGAATGTTTACATTGCTATTTTGGTGTTTTACTTGCACTGCTATGTTGTAAATTATTTGTTCTCAGGAACGTAGAATGTCAATCAGTTTCAAATAATTTGCATTGAAGAACTATTTTTTTATAAATTTTTTTTATTGTATTTTGCTTTTAGAGAATAAACATGTAATTTGAACTTACAATAGTTTTCAACTTTTGATATATTTGTTAATATTTGAAGAAAATTCCAACACTTGTTGTGTAGATGTGTTTGACAGACTTGTTTAAATTGTGTTTAAAAAAAAATTATTTTAATTTCTGTCACCGTTTTTTAGGGGCTTTTGAAGGATTTTTGCAATATCCTTTCCATCAACGTGTAAGTTATAACATATTTATGGTCGGAGAGGACTATAAGGAGAAAAGGTTGTAAATTGAATTAGACAACACATAATTCGATTTGCAATTTGTATTTTAACTTGATTTTTTTTTTACAATTTACCCTAATAAATGCATTTGTCTGGGATGAAACAAAGAAAATGAACTTCTTGTATAAAACCAACTTAACGAGTGTTCTCAAACGAGAGTAAATGCTAGAATTCTATATGGTAGGGCAGCATAAGGTTGAAGATCCGCTTTGAAACTACTCCCTGCCCAGTTCGCGGAGCACCGCGTTGGCGATCACTATCCGTTGGATCTCTGAGGTTCCCTCGTAGATCTCCGTGACGCGGGCGTTGCGGTAGTAGAGCTCCGCGGGCAGGTCGGTGGTGTAGCCCATGCCGCCCAGCACCTGGATGCACTGGTGGGCACAGTGGGTGGCCGCCTCCGAGGCGTGCAGCTTGGCCATGGCCGCCTCCTTGGTGATGGGCAGTCCGTTGTCCTTCAGCCAGGCGGCGCGCCATGTGAGGAGTCTGGAGGTCTCGACGCGCATGGCCATGTCGGCCAGCTTCTGCTGGATGAGCTGCATCTTTGCCAGCTGCTTGCCGAAGGCCACCCTCTTTTGGGCATAGTCTACGGCCAATTCCAAAGCGGCTTGTGCGATGCCCGTAGCCTGGGCGGCGATGCCGATCCTTCCGCAGTCCAAGGACTGCATGGCGATCTTGAAGCCGTCGCCGGGAGCACCAAGGACTCGAGATCGCGGCACTGCGACATCCTCCAGCACCAGCTGGCAGGTGGAGGTGGCCCGCATGCCCATCTTGCTCTCCTTCTTGGCTATGGACAGTCCGGGCACATCTTTGGGCGTGAGAAAGGCAGTGATACCCTTGTGCTTCAGGCCCTTGTCCACGGTGGCGAACACGATTCCCCCGCTGGCCTCCTTGGAGTTCGATATCCAGGCCTTGGTGCCGTTGAGCACGTAGCTATCCCCGTCCAACTTGGCCGTCGTGCTGGCCGCTCCCGCATCCGATCCGTTTCCCGGCTCCGACAGCGCGTAGAAGGCTATGTGGGCACCCTGGGTGTATGGCTCTAGGAAGTCCCGCTTCTGATCCTCGGTTCCGTGCTGCTGCACTGCACCCAGATAGAGGTTGTTCACGCCCATCACAATGGACACGGCTGCGTCGCCACGAGCCACCTCCTCCATGCCAATAGCGTAGGCCTGGTAGTCCAGTCCGGATCCACCTGCGGGCGAAAGTTTCATTAATAGCTATTAACATATTAATGACACTAAAGATCCTGTCATTCCTTTATATAGATCGGAAATAAGTGGCTCTCAATTTAAAATCAAAAACAAATAAAAGTTTTCAAATCAAAAACGAAAACTTTACGCATTCTTTTAAAAAATAATATTTAACATGAAAAAAAAAATTTTTATCTGTTTTAACGAACATTAAACATTTTTAAATTGAAAAAAAAAACATTTTGGGTGCAAAAAAAGAGTCGGAACATTTTAAAACGCAAATTTTCTTTGTGTAGAAACGTTTGTAAATTCGATTTTGTAATCAACTAGAAATTTAATCACAACATTGTTGATATGATCAGAAAAAAAAACAATTGAAAAAAAAAGAAAAAGCCGTACTAGATGAATTTAATTTTTTTATATTTAAATATATTGGTTTTGGCCAATAGATCAGCATTACAATTGAGTATGCAACTACGTAAAAAAGTCGAAACAAAATTATGATAATATCAATTTGAATATAAAGTAATTAAGCATCATGGAATAAGTTTCAAAATTTATAAAAAATATAAAAAATTACCCGAGGCAGATGCTGTCGATTTCAAGTTGTCTAATATATTTATCAATGCGATAACGATTTATCAATGCGTTATCGATCTGCTTTTCCTTCTGTGTGGCATACAAACAAACAAATATCAGTCGCAGTACTCACCGTACTCCTCCCGCACAGCCACCGCCATCAGGCCGAGTTCGCCCAGCCGCCGGATCTGTTCCGCCGGAAAGAGCTCCTCCCGGTCGTGGTGGCGGGCCTTGGGCGCTAGTTCCGCATTGGCGAACTCCCGGCAAGTCCTCTGCAGAATCTGATGGGTCTCGGAGAGGGCGGCCAGGCCGGCGATGCCCCTGTCCCCGCCGCCGACTCCCCGCACATTCCATGCTGCGCCAGAGCGTTGACCTGCGAACGGGAAGGCGGCAAATCGATCACCCGGCCGGCAGTGAATCACCCAACTCCTCACCCAACGTGCGCGCCACTCTGATCAGCTGCTGCATTCCGTCGTCCAACTGATCGCCACAGAGCTTTCGTCCGCGAGCCGATCGAAAAAGCCCCGTGGAAAACAGCTTTTATAAGCAGCTGTCTGAGGGCGAAAACAATGGCAGGAGCGTCTATTTTTGGGTTAAAAGGGATTCATTAAAAAAAAAAAAATTAATTTCATTTTAAAATTTGTTTTTTCTTCATTTTCATTTAAATAGAATAATTGGTTATTATTATTAATAACCACTGTATTATGATAGGGCTTGATAATTATATACTTTTTTAAATTAAAGATAATTGCTTTCATGCTAATTATATAAGGTATATTTATTTCATAAACGAAAGTTTTGCAACTTTGTAAAGTCGCCGTAAAGGTCAGCTGGAAAGAAAATAATTGGAAAGCGGTTCATTGGTTTTTGAAAGTGTGAATCTATCAAGAACATTGTTGATTTCCTATACCGACTGAATGCGAAATTTAGCAATGCAAATTCGCGATACACGCCCACTTTCGATGAGAAGTACAAAGTCCAAGAATTTTTTACACCAAACGCGAATGCGATTTCTTGCCCTTTACATATTACAATGAGAGAGTGGACTTTTGGAATGGTCGGAGACACATGTGTCTTTAGACGGTGTTAGTCACAGGTATTTCCAGGAATTTCGAATATTTTTGAAAATATTAAATTGTGCAATCATCACAATATCTAATAGCGCCATCAATTCTGTATTTATTGTGCTCTTTTTAATAGAGAAGTTAAGCTTGTTTCCTTTTTAGTTTCGCATTCTTTCTGCTTCATTTCAATAGTTGATCAGTTTTAAAGTGTTTTATAAAGCTTTTAGAATACTACTAGCAAAAAATACTTTTGTATCCGAATAAAGTTTCTCTCGCACACACGATCACAATCAATTAAAAATATAACAATTTAAAAAAAATTGAGCTTTCTGGTCAACTGACTATTGTAAAGATAATTCAAAACATAATTCCCTATAAAAGAACATGTTTATTATTAAAAAATTAAAATATTTATTTGTTTTTACCTTCCTTTGTACTTTTTGGCTATTTTAACATTTTTCGTCTACTGGCAGCACTCTGTCACCCTTCGATAACGCCATCTTGCGTCAGTAAATCAAACCATACCATTCTACATAAGCTATTGTAGTTCGTTGTTTCTCCGTGTAGAAAACGTTTCAGAGCGCTGCTGAGCCGCCCAGTTTCATTTTTACCGAAAATGAGAAATTAAACTCAATAAGTGAACAAATTTTCTCAGTTTTGTTTTGATTCACTCTAATCGTAGTAGGCCAAATAAAACGGTAACCGTTTTAAAATATCATTGTCATATTCATCACAGTCAAGCCGTTGTCTGTTCAAAATTATAGAATTCTAGCATTATATTTCTGAATAAATCCAGATGAATTACCTGATTCAACGCGGAAAGTTGCGCCAGCAGTCGATTAATGTGCCGGAGGGTTTGCCGGAACTTCTGTCGGACATTACGCGCGAGGTGTTACGATGCCAGCCAAAGAAGGAGTGCCTCTGCCAGTTCATCATCGACTATCTGCACTCGGTGATCGTGACCAGGGAGAAGGCGTTGGGTGAGTATTTCCGGGTTACTCCATAAGTGTTTTTGGTAAACGAGCAGGTGTACAAAATCACTAACTTATTGAGAACTGCAGTACTTCATTTTAGAGAAATTCTTTTCTTTCAGTGGCCAAGTCCATTTTGGACAGGTCTCTTCGGGAGGTGGACAGCATAATATCAGATCTGTGCGTCTGCGACTTGGCCAAGGAGAAGTCGGAGCTGATGGGCCAGGTGCTGGAGGACTGTTTCCGCAACTTCCTCGAGAAGCGTCGCTGCGAGATGCGGCGTGGCAAGCAGACCATAAACTTCGAGGATGTGGACATACTGGAGGAGCTGCTGCAGAAGTGTCAGTTCTCCGACGAGGAGCTGATCCTGTCGCGTCCAGCCATCGAGAGTGCCTACAAGCGCTTCGTGGACGCCTACATGTCCGCGCAACGTGGTGCTGATGGAACCGAGCTGCTCTACCAGTACTTCCGCGACCGGGAGCTGAAGCGCATCAATGAGGCGATGCGCGAACAGGCGGCCATCACCATTCAGTCGGCTTGGCGGGGTTACTGGGTCCGTCTCCAGTTCCCCCAGGAAGTGTGCGTCTGCGTCTGCGCGGCGGTGAGTGAATCGATCTGTGCCCAGACTCTCTCTCTGAAGTTGATTTTATCTCCTGTTCCATCAGGATAAGGAGGACGACGAGGAGGAGAGGCGCAGGCAAATGGCAGCGAGCATCATTCAGCGCTTCTTCCGCAAGGTCATGTTGGTAGGTAACAAAGTTTGCATGATATAAACTTTAACTAACCCTTTTTTCAATGTGCAGCGCGTTGCCACTAAGCCCATCACAGATCCCTGTGGGGAACCTACAGAGCCAACAGAAATTACGGCGAGCTCGTCGCCGGAGGCAGGGAAGAGTGATGCGACTGTCCCGACTGCAGCAGAAACTTCGGGAACTGCGCCAGGAACTGCTCCAGGAACTGCTCCAGGAACTGCTCCAGGAACTGCTCCAGGAACTGCGCCGGGAACTGCGCCGGGAACTGCTCCGGCAACGGCCCGACCCTCGGAAACTGTTTTGGCAGAGCCGGAAGCCCAAGCTGAGGAAGCTCAACCACAGGCTCCAGAAGCAGCGGTGGAAGAGGCACCACCTGCAGTCGTCGAAGAGGCTGCACCACCTCCCGTCGAAGAGGCTGCCCCGGCACCACCACCACCCGCCGAGGAGCCTGCACCGGCGGAGGAGCCTGCACCGGCGGAGGAGGCCGCACCACCGGCTGAAGAAGCCGCACCACCGGCTGAAGAAGCCGCACCACCGGCTGAAGAAGCACCCGCCGAGGCAGCAGTCGAGTAGATGAAACAAAACCATCTTTATTAGTTTTCCTCTTAGTTGTTAAATTTATTTTTCCTGCAAGTGAATAATATAATCTGAAGGGGAGTAATCCTCAACCCCCTTACGATTCCACTTGACCTTCTATCCACTCACTGAAGGTTGACACCCGGGTGTAGACATCTGGAGATATGTACAGACCACACACAACCAATCCGTAGGAAACTATTCCCACTTGCTTCGGGCCGTTTTTCGTTTGCATGACCAGGGGTCCACCAGAGTCGCCCTGGAAATTTAAATATTATTTACTGCATTAAATTGTCTAAATTTCCTTTGCAGCTAAAACCAGTTGGGAATTATAGTGTCTTAGTGGAGATGCATATCGACAAATGAATATTATATGATTCCCCTGACTCACCGAACAGGCGCCCCTGAAAGGTCCTCTTGCGCAGATCTCCGTATCCGTAACGCTCTCCATTCCCGCATCCCTGCACTCCCTGTTCGAAATGGTGTGGTAGCTCATCCGTTGAAGTATGTTTGGGTAGTTGACTTCATCCAGGAAGGGAAAGGGCACCGGCAAACGTAGGCCCCAGCCCGTCAGCGTCACCGGAACTCCACCGTTTACAAACTCTCTTTGCATAGATTTGTACTCAATGGAGGTGATGCTGGCATTGTTAAGCTTCAGAGGAGGATCAATGGACAGCACGGCCAGATCGCTGGTCACCAGTTCTTTGTATTTGGGATGAATACTGTAGGTCAGGACTTGGGAGCGGGAACCCCTTTCGTTCAGACCACGAATTCCGGCCACCACAGACATGCGACTCGCATTCAATCCCTGGCAACAATGGGCAGCCGTTAGGATGCGATTGGGGGCAATGATGGATCCGCCGCAGAAGTGCATCTGACCGGCACGGGTTCTGTATTGCAGGGAAACCTGGTAGGGTACATGCTCCCCCGGTGGAACATCCGCACCTCCGACAATTCGGTGCGGTGTATAGCCACTGGGCTGACGAGCTATCGAAAGTAAATTCATACCTAACTGATTGCTCTTCAATAATTTCAATTAAAACTCACAATTAAGCCTTCCAATGGCACCTCCCACGGCTATAGCTGCGATGAAGAGTAGCTCGGTTGGACCCATCGTTAGTTGGTTAATGCTACTGGCTTTGCATCTGCCACGCTACTTAAACAAAAGCTTGGCCCCCATTAGAGAGGGAATTTGCATATGTATCGCACATATCTGGGGCACTTTGGATACTTGGTTATGCCATTAAATTTGATCTTGAAATTGAAATTATAATGAGGAGTTCTGCTGGTAATGTGACCTGGTTAACTGGCTTGCAAATATCGAATTGCGAGTGTGAGGGGCTTGCAGCAAATTGTTGATAGCTTATGTGTAGTTCTAAACCAAGGAAGATATTGCTAGGTTGTACTGTTCATCTGACCTTGTATTGTCTTATACAAAGATGGTATTTTTATTAAATCTGTTGTTACGAATTCAAAATGTTTAAATTTAAATATTGGTAAATTTAAGCCATTCTTTCCTTTATCCAACCATCGAACATGGACACTCGAGTGTAGACATCGGGGCTGTTGGAGGCGCAAAAGGCAGTGCCATAGGATACCACGCCCACCTGCTTATAGGTCTCTCCACTCTTCATCACCAAGGGACCGCCAGAATCGCCCTATTTGCATGTGATAACGAAATATAATCTAGATTTAAAACAATTTCAAAACTCAACTCACATTACAAGCTCCCTTGCCGAATCGCTCCAAGGCGCAGATTTCGGTGTCGGTTAGTTGGGTCATGGTCTGCTTGCACCTGGAGTTGCTTAGGGTCTTGTAGTTGAGCTTCTGCAGCACAGTGGGGTATTTGGCAAAGGGTCCAGTGCCAAAGTGGAAGACAGAGCCCCATCCGGTGAGTAGAACCTCCTGGTCGGCGCCAACCAGTTCCGAACCACTCACATCGATGGTGGCCACTCGCTTCTCGTCCAACTCAAAGGATGGCTCGATTTTGAGGATGGCAATGTCGCTGGTCACCAGTTCCTGGTAGTTCTCGTTCATCTCGTAGGACTGCACCTGGGATCTGAATCCGGAGCTGTCCTCCAGATCCCTGATGCCGGCCACAACGCTAATGCGACTGGCATTCTGACCATTGACGCAGTGGGCAGCGGTGAGGACACGATTTGGAGCGATCAGGGACCCACCACAGAAGTGACGTTGCTTGCCACCGCGAGTGAGGAACTGCATGGACACCTGGTAGGGCACATACTCATCCTCGGGCACATCGTAGCCGCCAACCACACGCTCATGGGAATTGGTGTCCGCCTCCTCGAAATACTTGTCCACTGGGGCAAAGCAGTGACTTGAGTATGAAGTACTCATTGGTTAAGTTATCAATATCACTTACAGTCGATGACGCTGCCCATGGGATTACCCTGGACCACCTCCTTGGCTGCCACAAAGGCTGCCACAAACAGCACAAATGAAGTTACTCCGTTCATGGTGGGACTGAGCTTGGAACTAGCACTAGTGCACCCGAGGTTTATATACGCATCGATGAGCCCCAATTAATTGGGCCTTTTCGTTCTGCTCGATTCATTTGAATTTTATCGAGCTGTGCAGCTGTGGGCGGTCGTCCCACCTCATGTAATGGGTTACAAGGTCGCTGGGCAACGATAGCGGTGGCCTAGGCGATAGGAACTTCCAGTTGGCAAGGAGAGACACATGGGAATGGGTGTGCTATTAGCCAACTGAGATTGGTTCTATTTCGTGGGTTCAGGCTGGGAAATAATATTGCCTCAAAAGGTATCTAAATGGCAAAAGACAGAATTTTCTTACTTTTCATTCGCGAGCAATACATCAATTTACTGGCTCCAAAGAGTCAGCTTCAGCACTTCCAAGGAATAACACCTACGCAAGGGTAAAATAATCAGAATCAGAGACCAGTCTGCCCAAACAGAACCAGCTCCTGCCCAAACGATCTGTCTCAGAGTTTTAATCAGCGAATAATTTAAATATTCCGATTAAACAAGCCCCTGCGACGGCAGCGGACATTTCTTTTAATTCATGGTGCGGACAAGGAGACCTGCCGCTGGCAATCAGCACCTCGGACACCTCGGTTTCAGTTTCTCTTCCAGCTTGAGGTCCAGACATGAGCTGCAGCAGGAGCTCTAGGACCACATCCACATGTTCGATGCAAATCAGCTTCGAGTTCTGCCTCAATTGCCAATGCCTTCTGCCATGGGCGGGCACTCACTCTGTGAGTGCTATCTGGTCCACATTCGGAGTCAGATGTGTCAGTTCCGGGCCTGATTGCATCCAGCTAATGAATCATTTTGGGTGTAGCTGGCTCTGGCTCTGGCTCTGGCTCTCGATCTGGTTCTGACTCTGGTGGACAGGGCCTTCAGCTGTGTGTGGCGCACTGGCGCGAATTAATTATGCACACCTCTCGGCTTCGTGGCAACTCCTCCGTTCGCCTTGCTCCGCCGGCTGCTGTTGAGGTCTTGATCTTTGGACTCCTGTGTTAATTGTCCTGGGCCGCAATGCAGCGCCACGAAGCTGTGAGCCAGCGAACCGATTTGAACCCGAAATGGCTTTATTATATCGCCAGCAAGCCCCACCCACAGGATGTGTCTGCAGATCTGGGCATCTCTGGAGCTGAATCGGAATCTGAATCTCAATCTGAATCTGAATCCGACTCTGGCGCCTGTTAATTGGACCACCCTGTCAAGGCATGACTTATCTGCGGACTTTATGCTTAATTCCCGCCTCTAATTTGCATGTGAGCTTCGTTCTTCTTCGACTTGACGGGTTAATCCTTGTGTTAACTCATTAGGCTTTGTTCTAGCAAAGGAAATTTAATCAAGGAATCAACGAAAGCTGCACATCAGTTTAGTATACTAAGAACTCACTTTTTTGTGAAGAACGTGATAGGGAAAACATTCTTTACAAGCAACCTTTGCACAAGCAACTTTATATTATAGCTACTTTTTTGACTTTATTATTGCTGATTGGCAATTTGCTACTCAAAAATTATAAGAAAAGGTAAGGAATTAGAAGATGGAATAGTAGTTAAGAGCTTAGTTAACATAAGATAAAATAAGTTTTAAATATATTAGCTGACTCATTGCTTTAAATTAATATTATTGCGTATATATCCTTACATTTTTCTTTTTTCTTCTATACCATTTTACATAAATAACTTAACAAAAACCATTACTTTAGATTTGTGTTTATATAAAATATTTTAAATGATATGACTTTGAATGAATTACGCAGAATTAATTTTTTTTTGGTGTCAGCACTTTTTTTTATAACTTATTGGGCGGAAACATAATAAATATTTCGTTTAAACTAAGAAAAAAAAATTTAACAAATATCATAATATTATTGTTATTACTATAATCCTTTAAAGCGTAAAAGGCCTTTGCTGACAAATAAAAGGAAACTTAATTTTAAACAAACCATCGCTTCAGTCCAAGCTGAAAAAGAACGCAGACGATGGTCAAAATTCTCACTAATAAAATGCACTTTAATCATTTCATCAACGGTGTTGTCGACCATATCCTCCGGCCAAGGGCTTGCGGATCGGTTCGGTGTTAACAAGATAAGCATCCTGCCTGTCCGCTGCGACGGGACGCCATCATTATTATGACATTCTGTTTGATTGCCTGCCCCGCAGATGCCCTCATTCATGGCCATGTTCGCCAGCCAACTTCTGTAGAATTGTGCGTGTGGCCGAGAAGAAGGGGTCAGAACCGAAGTGGGCATTCATTCTCGGTGCAATTTTTATGGGTTTTGTGTTTTCGGTATATGTTTTCTTGTTTGTCTCTTTGCCGCCAACGTCATCGTCTTGATTTATTGGCCGACTTCTTAAAGCAGAGCCGCTGGTTTTACGATCTGTCCGGAGTGAGGGAAGTGGCATTTTATATACCCGGCTTAAAGTCCAGTAGCCACTCGGAAGGGCACTACTCTAACCGTTTTGGTTTAAGGGTCAATTCAGAGCATCGGCGGAAACAGGTGAGAGAAACCGTTCTGCTGGTTCGACCTGAATGCAAATGATTGTGACTGATGGCAACATAAACAAACGAGATCAGCCTGGTTAGTCGAATGAGTTTTCCGCTTCGCAGGCAATTAATTTCGCACTCGTTTCCAAGTGGAAAATTATTTGCGTGTTTTGCATAATCAGTAAATTGGTCGTTTATTTTAGTACTTAATTTGCTCAGGATCGCACCACGAGGTGCACCGTCTCCCACTGGAATCACCACCCCTCCCACTGGTCTTATAAATTATGACTCTGGAGCCCAACACATGCAGCGATGTGGAGTTGGCTCTGGCCCGAGCATTGGGCAAATTAAACAGATTTTTATTTGCAAATCAGATAAGAGATCATGCCACGAATACGCGTTCGCCCAGATAAACAGATGAACAGATACTCAGATACAAAATCGGACTAGAGCTGGCTCAATATTTATCGGTCGCGTGAGCGTGTTACCTAATTGATGACAACAGGTAGGCGCTTCTGTCAAGCCCAGTCTTATGATGGGATCTGCGGATCGCATCCCCGCTAGCTTATGATAACCAGGCACGCAAGGCGACAACTGGGCAGCTGGGAGCAGAGCAGCAGGAGATCCAAGTCAACTACTGTTTGGCCTGGAATGCTAAAAAAATGTTATATCCTTTCCCGAAGAACAAAGTTTCAAGTTAAGAAAATAAATAAACGAATTAAATATATATATTGTCATAACATAAATTACAAAAGTTTATAATGTGCACATTGTTTACTCAAATTATAAATTATTTTACTTGTTTTTGAGTGAGTGTGGAATGTTGTTTATAAAATGGTATTTTATTGTTTAGTTGGTTAAATTAAATCCCCCAAAAAAATATGTTTAGGTTTATATGACTTAGTTGGTTTTATAAAATCACCAATAAAAAAGATTTTTAGGCTTATATGCACAGTAATTATTATGATCGGAAGAGAATAATACCCATTTGGTAGTTTTTATTTTAATTGTGTATTTAATTGTGTTTTTTTTATCAAGTTTACATAAAGCCAGTACTGTTATTTATATGAGATACTTGGAAAAGGTTACCCAAACACAACCCACATTAAATTATTTCAAGATCACAAGCATTTACATGTTTGCATCGCCAAATAAACGATAAGCTCCATGTGAAGATGTATAAAAAGCACAGAATGCAGTCGCATGCCATTCATTTCCAACAGTGCAAACGTGATGTCGTATCCGAAAATGGCAATCCTGGTGCTTTTTTGTACTTTTCTGATCCTCCGGAAAGGGCTGGCTGAAGTGGTGACCCCGACCACCGATCCACCCACTCGGATCAATGGTGGCCAGCAAGTGAACGAGTCGGTGCCCTTCCAAGTGTCCCTGCAAATGCAGCGCCGTGGTCGCTGGCAGCACTTCTGCGGTGGCTCCATTGTGAGTGGCCAGCATGTCCTTACGGCTGCCCACTGTGTGGAGAAGATGAAGGTGGAGGACGTCAGCGTGGTGGTCGGAACGCTCAACTGGAAGGCAGGAGGACTGCGCCACCGGGCGGTGACCAAGCACGTTCATCCCCAGTACTCGATGAGTCCGCGGATCATCAACGACATCGCCCTTGTCAAGGTCACTCCCCCGTTCCGTCTGGAGCGATCCAATATCAGCCCCATCCTCATGGGCGGATCCGATCGCATTGGTGAAAAGGTGGCCGTCCGCCTCACCGGCTGGGGATCCACATCTCCGTCCACCACATCGGCCACTCTACCGGATCACCTGCAGGCGCTTAACTACCGCACCATCTCGAACGAGGAGTGCAACCAAAAGGGATTCCGGGTGACGCGCAATGAGATCTGCGCCCTGGCTGTCCAGGGTCAGGGGGCATGTGTGGTGAGTCAAATACCATAGCATGACATTTAAATATGTTCCATAAGGGATTATGCTTACATGTATAGAATATAACACTTTTCAGATCCTTTAACTAAACTTAATTTTGATGAGTTCAATGCAATAACATCACATTTAAATAATAATATAAAACCCTTTCAGATCCTTTAGTTAAAAATAATTTTGTTTTTTATTTTTACAAAGATTAGGCAAAGAAGTTACAATTTAATGTCATATAGAAGTGTTAATTTCTTTTAAATTGACTCAATTATTTTTTTTAATAACATTTTTAAAACTCTTACAACTAGAAAATTAAATTAGAAAACTTACATTTAAAAAAAAAAAAAATCCCACTTTAATTTAATTTAAATTTAAATCTTGTAATCAAAATAATAAACCATTACTTAATAGCGAAGAACTATAACAAATTAACGGCAAAAAACGGCAAAGTTATCATACCTATACCTACAAGCTGTTAACATATATTTTAGCCAACACTTTCATTGGACTTTTCTCAAAAAATGAACATGTATTTCAGGGCGACTCTGGTGGACCCCTGATTAAGCCCGGTCCCCAGCCGCACCTGGTGGGCATTGTGTCGTACGGCTCGTCCACCTGTGCCCAGGGCAGGCCCGATGTCTACACACGAGTGTCCAGCTTCTTGGCCTACATCAGCCAGGTGATCAACCAGGATCTGGCCCAATAAATACACTCCGGCAGCGCATAAATAAACCTTGGTTCAACTGAACTTGACTAAATTCCTCGGGGTCTCGCGTTCTTGGCTATTCCCCTTCTGCCTCCCTTCCTTTGGCGACTAATTAAAAATCTTGTTCAATATTCGCCACAGCCGGGCATGGAAGGCGGAGGAGTCTGGGTGGAGTCCGCCGAGTCGCCTCTCCATCTCTAGGCTTGGCCCGACTCCAGCGAAAACTTGGGCTGCCGCCTGCCAGGGCGACCATGATAAATGCAAAAAGCAATTTATCGCGCATTTAACTCAATTCAGTTTCTTTATGGCAGCGGGACGGCGGAGTCTGCCACAAAGTTTCGCTGACACGCACACTGCGGCGGACGGTGGACGGTGGACGGTGGACGGCGGAAGGCAGACGGCAGACTATGCCCTGCTCTCTCCGAAGACCGGGCCTTGTAATTCGATATTAGATTTTATGCGCGACAAATACGAAGTGCAAACATTTTTATGTTCCCGCCGTTTCATAGCTGCGATTGGTATTGCTATGTGCCAGTGTATGTATGTGTAGGGGAAACGATTTAACGGGGCGCCGACTTTGACTTCGACTCTAACTTTGGTCTCGCCTCGACTGCGGCTGTGTAATTAAGTTCAAATAATGTGGAGCTGATGTCTTTGCCGGCTCGAAGGACCATTTTCCTGCAGAGGAGCCCGTTTCCTAGCTCGTTTCACGCTCTCAATTTACTGGCTCAAAGCTCGCCACGCTCTGCGGTCCTAACATGGAAAATCTGGCCCCGACTGAACTCCCATATATATACAGCTAACAGCTAACAGCGGGTCAAATGCGCCGAAGACTAAACCACCCATTTGAAACCTCCATTACGCAGGCCAAGCATCTCATCCCAAGACAATCTGGGCACTGCGCACTGCGCACTGCTCACCATATAAATTCATTTAGATCAATCAATTCAATTTGTTTGTCAATAAGCCCTAAATGAGTATTTCATTTAAACAAATTAAGATTCGACCCATTCGGAATGCCAGAGGCTGCCAGAGGCGGACTCATCCCGCAGCAATTAAAATTGACGCGACACACTCGATTCCCTGATTTCTTAAACGAGCGCAATGGAAACACATATAAATACGGCTGGACTTTGGCTCAGACCCAGACCCAGACCCAGAACCAGACCCTGGGACCCAGAACGCCCTGAGACCATAAGACCAAGAGACCAATGGCCAGACCACATCGCTGTTGACTCTTCATTGTCAATTAAAATCAAATAAATTTATTTGCTGCTTGACATTCGCATTGCCATAGTTTCGATCCGCTCTTTTTGTTTGGCATGCAAGTGCATTGAGCTGATTGCTGACCTTGGACTGCCCAAATCACTTGGCTTTTCCCTGGTTGGCCACCGACTCCATGGCCTTCTTGACCGTCTCCGGATCGCCGAGGAATCTCAGTGTGGCGAGGGGCTTGAGATTCTCGTCCAGTTCGTAGACAAAGGGTATGACCGTGGGCAGGTTGAGGTCCATGATGTCCTGGTCGGAGATGCACTCCAGGTGCTTGACCACGCCCCTCAGGCTGTTGCCGTGGGCGGCCACCAGGATGCGCAGGCCCTCCTTGATCTGCGGCACTATCACCTCGTCCCAGTAGGGCAAGGTGCGTTCGATTGTTAGCTTGAGGGACTCCGACTTGGGGAAATCCGAAGCACTAAGATGGCCCTCATAGCGTGGATCCTCTACAATGCAGGCGTAGTACTCGTGGTCCGGCTCCATGGGCGGCGGCGGGGTGTCGAAGCTGCGGCGCCAGATCTGGACCTTTTCCTCGCCGAACTTCTTGGCCGTCTCGGCCTTGTTCAGACCCGTCAGTCCGCCGTAGTGACGCTCGTTGAGGCGCCACGAGGTGCACACTGGGATGGGGCGGTGCTCGCTGGACTTCAGGATGGCCGTGAGGGTGTCCTGGGCTCTGGACAGCACCGAGGTGTGGGCCACGTCGAACTCCATTTTGGCCTCCTTGAGGGCACGGCCGGCCGCACAGGCCTCCTGCTGCCCCTTCTCCGACAGCTTGGTATCGAACCAGCCGCAGAATAGGTTCTTCTGGTTCCACTCGGACTCCCCGTGCCGCACCATCACAATCCGGTACTTTCCCTTTTTATCCGGCTGATTGCCACCGGAGGAGGGCTTCGAGTACGGCCTTGGGGTGCGGGCTTCGATGTTTGCCAGGCGGCCCAGCATTTGGCCACACCACGAGTTCCTGGCCAGAGCCAACATTTTGGGGCACTTCAAATTTTGGAAAAGTGATAAGTCTAGATTGTGTTCATTGCGAGTGTGATTCCCAACAAATCTGACTTGTCGACCACTTGACAGATGGGAAGACCGGCTAGAACAAGCACTCTTTGGTTCCAGTACCTAAGTTTATTTATGATTGTCCGACTTCGCTTCGAGCAATATAGCTTCAACTAATTTAGTTAGTAAGACTCTAGTCTTGAGTGATATTAACCTGTATGTTCATTTATTAAAATGTTAATTTGTAAAAATTTACTTTATGTTGTCTCACTTACATTTTATTTTCATTTTAGATTATCAAAAAAAAATTGAAGAGATAGTTATGTAATACCATACATTCGTTTGTAAATGATAGTTGTCATTGCCCTTTTTGTGTCGGGATATGAATGAATTGTCGTTTTTAAATTAAACAATAAAAATCGGTGTTACTTAAATAAGCTGGATAAAGTATTTACTTGTAATGGAAAACTAGTGAGAACACGGTCACAAAATCAGAACCTTAATCGAATATTACAATAATTCTATTTTTTTCTAATATTCATCTCAACCCAATAAAATTCGAAATAAATGTAATATTTTTTATCGATTTTTAATATAAAATAATTCATTAAGTATAATGGCGACCCTTCAATTGTATATAACATATTAATTCCGCCTTTGAAAATGTAGCTTTGGAGACTGGGCCAACTTCATGGCCGTATTGTCAACAAAAACGAGATCCTCATATCGAAAAGAGGTGCCTATTTTGTAGTTCCTTAGTATCTTGGCTAGTGCGAGCTTGACTGACATCAATGCATATTTCCAGCCTGTAAAACAAAAAAGTCATTACAATTTTTGTTTTGAAAAAATTTAAAACATTTAGTTAACCTATGCAATTTCGCTTTCCCCTTGAGAACGGAATGAAGGCGTAGGGATGCCTTTCGAGGATGTTTTCCGGCAGAAAGTTATCAGGGTTGAACTTCTCTGCCTCGGAGCCCCAGAAATCCGGGTTACGGTGAGTACTGAATATGTCAATGCCTATTACGACATCTTTAGGAATGACAACTCCATTTGAAAGGCGAACATCTCTAATAGTTTCCCTCGGAGCAATGGGAATTGGTGGTATCAATCGCAAGGTCTCGTTCAACACGCGGTCCAAGTACTCCAAATTTTGTAGGTCTTCCTCAGTCACTTCGAAGTCGCCGTTTGTTGGAAAGGCTTTTTTAAGCTCTTCAAATGCCATATCCTGGTAGTCGGGGAACATGGCTAACAAAATCATAGTGTGCCAAACTGTTAGACCTGTAGTCTCGAACGCAGCTAAGACCATATTACTGCATTCACTTTTCACTTCCTCATAGCTTAAATCGCCACTTCGAAACAGATCGATTGCTCGGTTGATCAAAGTGTTTGAAATGGAAGATGTACTATTTTCCTCGGTACATTTTAGTTTTTTATCAATTATCTAAAAAAATACATTTTTAAATAACCGTTACTCATGTTTTATCATTTTGTATACATACATTTTCAACAGGTTTATTAATCACCAAGGCGTTCTTCAATCTCTTTTTCTCATAACCACAGAGTTTGGCAATAAACTTGTTCTGGACCAAGGGAAAGATTACGTTGACCGTTATCAAACCTATGATTCTGTAAAATTAAACCTTTAATTAGATAAGCTTAAACTCAAAAGCTTTAATTTTTCTTACGTTTGATAGCTTTCCATTAGTTTATCATCTTTGAAGGTCTGATCTTCTTGTATATCAGACCCCATTGTAGTTTCTGAGAATATTAAATAATTAAATATGCTGAGGTGATAGAATAATCATACCTACTCATAGCCGTTCTAAAAGACCATCGGTGAATATCTGGAAGCACATCCTTCTCCCCTTGACCCACAAAAGTATCCAGCAAGGAGACTAATGTTTTCGATTCATCATTGAAAACTGGCATAAAGCTGAGCAGGACACCATGTTTGAATGTGGGATTCAGCTGCTTGCGGCGAATATCCCATTTAGGCTCTACACAATTTTGAAATACATTTAAATCACCTACAAGTGGTTTATTTTTTTTTTGTAGTCAATACCTCGCAACGTCACCAATCCGAATCCAATACAGGTACCCATACCATTAACCATGTGCAATGACTTATTTAGGCAGTCTGAAGACGTTAATATGTCCTTTAAGATCGTTGGATCCCTAGTAACCAAAATTGGCACCGGTCCCAGCCAGGAAAAAATAGTTGAGCCATATTTGTCCATGTACTGAGCTCGTAAGCTCATTTTACCTGCAGTGAAGGAGTGCACATTAACTCAAATTCAGCTTGGACTCAATTAAACAAATTAGGGATTTTTGACTTACGCTTGTTAATAGTGTACTCGATGGCTATGCCGAGCAGGGGAAGTCCCATTGGTCCTGGCAACTGGAACATCAGCTTATATAGACAGCGACGATTCCACAAAAATCGGAACCAGAAAAATATCCCCGCAGCAATCAAGAAGTGTATTGTTAGCATTTTAACCAAACATTGTGCTAGCACGGTACAGTTGCCAGAATATATATCTCAGTTAGGGATTGTAATTTGGTGTGTTCGGGTCAAAATTTATGTTGGGTTGCGATCCTCTAATTAAAGTGGGTAATTATTTTTGGATATTTTATTTTAATTGCTTTGATTACAGTGTGACCCTCGACTTGCTAAATGAGTTTGTTAACGTTTAATTTAACTAATTAAGCACATACATCAGAAACTCAGAAACTTAATTGTAATGAAAAAATGTTTTTTAATACAGTTCAAATTATTGTTTGCTTCTATAGAGCGAAAGGCGGCAAAATGGTTTAAATCTTCTTTTTAGAAGTTATGTTAGTGTAAAAAGTATTTGAAATTTTAAATAAGGTATTAAGGGTAATTTTAACTTAATTGAAACTTGACGGACCCATCATCAAAATTTTTTTTCATTTACTTCGTTAGTATACTACTTACTCATTGATATTTATACCCTTGCAGAGGGTATTATAATTTCAGTCAGAAGTTTGCAACGCAGTGAAGGAGACATCTCCGACCCTATAAAGTATATATATTCTTGATCAGCATCACTAGTAGAGTCGATCTAGCCATGTCCGTCTGTCCGTCCGTCTGTCCGTCTGTCCGTCCGTCTGTCCGTCTGTCAGTCTGTCCGTCTGTCCGTCTGTCCGTCCGTTTATATGCAAACTAGTCTCTCAGTTTTAAAGCTAGCTGCATGAAACTTTCCCAAAAGTTGTCTTTCTATTGCAGGTAGTATATAAGTCGGAACGAACCGGATCGGACGACTATAGCATATAGCTCCCATAGGAACAATCTGGGCACTGCGCACTGCGCACTGCTCACCATATAAATTCATTTAGATCAATCAATTCAATTTGTTTGTCAATAAGCCCTAAATGAGTATTTCATTTAAACAAATTAAGATTCGACCCATTCGGAATTCCAGAGGCTGCCAGAGGCGGACTCATCCCGCAGCAATTAAAATTGACGCGACACACTCGATTCCCTGATTTCTTAAACGAGCGCAATGGAAACACATATAAATACGGCTGGACTTTGGCTCAGACCCAGACCCAGACCCAGAACCAGACCCTGGGACCCAGAACGCCCTGAGACCATAAGACCAAGAGACCAAGAGACCAATGGCCAGACCACATCGCTGTTGACTCTTCATTGTCAATTAAAATCAAATAAATTTATTTGCTGGTTGACATTCGCCTTGCCATAGTTTCGATCCGCTCTTTTTGTTTGGCATGCAAGTGCATTGAGCTGATTGCTGACCTTGGAATGCCCAAATCACTTGGCTTTGCCCTGGTTGGCCACCGACTCCATGGCCTTCTTGACCGTCTCCGGATCGCCGAGGAATCTCAGTGTGGCGAGGGGCTTGAGATGCTCGTCCAGTTCGTAGACAAAGGGTATGCCCGTGGGCAGGTTGAGGTCCATGATGTCCTGGTCGGAGATGCACTCCAGGTGCTTGACCACGCCCCTCAGGCTGTTGCCGTGGGCGGCCACCAGGATGCGCAGGCCCTCCTTGATCTGCGGCACTATCACCTCGTCCCAGTAGGGCAAGGTGCGCTCGATTGTTAGCTTGAGGGACTCCGACTTGGGGAAATCCGAAGCACTAAGATGGCCCTCATAGCGTGGATCCTCTACAATGCAGGCGTAGTACTCGTGGTCCGGCTCCATGGGCGGCGGCGGAGTGTCGAAGCTGCGGCGCCAGATCTGGACCTTCTCCTCGCCGAACTTCTTGGCCGTCTCGGCCTTGTTCAGACCCGTCAGTCCGCCGTAGTGACGCTCGTTGAGGCGCCACGAGGTGCACACTGGGATGCGGCGGTGCTCGCTGGACTTCAGGATGGCCGTGAGGGTGTCCTGGGCTCTGGACAGCACCGAGGTGTGGGCCACGTCGAACTCCATTTTGGCCTCCTTGAGGGCACGGCCGGCCGCACAGGCCTCCTGCTGCCCCTTCTCCGACAGCTTGGTATCGAACCAGCCGCAGAATAGGTTCTTCTGGTTCCACTCGGACTCCCCGTGCCGCACCATCACAATCCGGTACTTTCCCTTTTTGTCAGCCTGATTGCCACCGGAGGAGGGCTTCGAGTACGGCCTTGGGGTGCGGGCTTCGATGTTTGCCAGGCGGCCCAGCATTTGGCCACACCACGAGTTCCTGGCCAGAGCCAACATTTTGGGGCACTTCAAATTTTGGAAAAGTGATAAGTCTAGATTGTGTTCATTGCGAGTGTGATTCCCAACAAATCTGACTTGTCGACCACTTGACAGATGGGAAGACCGGCTAGAACAAGCACTCTTTGGTTCCAGTACCTAAGTTTATTTATGATTGTCCGACTTCGTTTCGAACAATATAGCTTCAACTAATTTAGTTAGTAGGACTCTAGTCTTGAGTGATATTAACCTGTATGTTAATTTATTAAATGTTAAATGTTAATTTGTAAAAATGTACTTTTTGTTGTCTCACTTACATTTTAGTTTCATTTTAGATTATCCAAAAAAAAATTGAAGACATAGTTATAGTAATACCACACATTCGACTGTAAATGATAGTTGTCATTGCCCATTTAGGGATATACTCAGTGAATTGCCGTTTTTAAATTAAACAATAAAATTCTGTGTTATTTAAGTAAGCTGGATAAAATATTTACTTATAATGGAAAACTAGTAAGAATACGGTCACAATATCAGAACCTTAATCGAATATTACAATAATTGTATTTTTTTCTAATATTCATCTCAACCCAATAAAGTTCGAAATAAATTTAATATCTTTAATCGATTTTGAATATAAAATAATTCATTGAGTATAATGGCGACCCTTCAATTGTATATAACATATTAAGTCCGCCTTTGAAAATGTAGCTTTGGAGACTGAGCCAACTTCATGGCCGTATTGTCGACAAAAACGAGATCCTCATATCGAAAAGAGGTGCCTATTTTGTAGTTTCTTAGTATCTTGGCTAATGTGAGCTTGACTGACATCAATGCATATTTCCAGCCTGTAAAACAAAAAAGTCATTACAATTTTTGGTTGAAGAAAATTTAAAACATTTAGGTAACCTATGCAATTTCGCTTTCCCCTTGAGAACGGAATGAAGGCGTAGGGATGCCTTTCGAGGATATTTTCCGGCAGAAAGTTATCAGGGTTGAACTTCTCTGCCTCGGAGCCCCAGAAATCCGGGTTACGGTGAGTACTGAATATGTCAATGCCTATTACGACATCTTTAGGAATGACAACTCCATTTGAAAGGGGAACATCTCTAATAGTTTCCCTCGGAGCAATGGGAATTGGTGGTATCAATCGCAAGGTCTCGTTCAACACGCGGTCCAAGTACTCCAAATTTTGTAGGTCTTCCTCAGTCACTTCGAAGTCGCCGTTTGTTGGAAAGGCTTTTTTAAGCTCTTCAAATGCCATATCCTGGTAGTCGGGGAACATGGCTAGCAAAATCATAGTGTGCCAAACTGTTAGACCTGTAGTCTCGAACGCAGCTAAGACCATATTACTGCATTCACTTTTCACTTCCTCATAGCTTAAATCGCCACTTCGAAACAGATCGATTGCTCGGTTGATCAAAGTGTTTGAAATGGAAGATGTACTATTTTCCTCGGTACATTTTAGTTTTTTATCAATTATCTAAAAAAATACATTTTTAAATAACCGTTACTCATGTTTTATCATTTTGTATACATACATTTTCAACAGGTTTATTAATCACCAAGGCGTTCTTCAATCTCTTTTTCTCATAACCACAGAGTTTGGCAATAAACTTGTTCTGGACCAAGGGAAAGATTACGTTGACCGTTATCAAACCTATGATTCTGTAAAATTAAACCTTTAATTAGATAAGCTTAAACTCAAAAGCTTTAATTTTTCTTACGTTTGATAGCTTTCCATTAGTTTATCATCTTTGAAGGTCTGATCTTCTTGTATATCAGACCCCATTGTAGTTTCTGAGAATATTAAATAATTAAATATGCTGAGGTGATAGAATAATCATACCTACTCATAGCCGTTCTAAAAGACCATCGGTGAATATCTGGAAGCACATCCTTCTCCCCTTGACCCACAAAAGTATCCAGCAAGGAGACTAATGTTTTCGATTCATCATTGAAAACTGGCATAAAGCTGAGCAGGACACCATGTTTGAATGTGGGATTCAGCTGCTTGCGGCGAATATCCCATTTAGGCTCTACACAATTTTGAAATACATTTAAATCACCTACAAGTGGTTTATTTTTTTTTGTAGTCAATACCTCGCAACGTCACCAATCCGAATCCAATACAGGTACCCATACCATTAACCATGTGCAATGACTTATTTAGGCAGTCTGAAGACGTTAATATGTCCTTTAAGATCGTTGGATCCCTAGTAACCAAAATTGGCACCGGTCCCAGCCAGGAAAAAATAGTTGAGCCATATTTGTCCATGTACTGAGCTCGTAAGCTCATTTTACCTGCAGTGAAGGAGTGCACATTAACTCAAATTCAGCTTGGACTCAATTAAACAAATTAGGGATTTTTGACTTACGCTTGTTAATAGTGTACTCGATGGCTATGCCGAGCAGGGGAAGTCCCATTGGTCCTGGCAACTGGAACATCAGCTTATATAGACAGCGACGATTCCACAAAAATCGGAACCAGAAAAATATCCCCGCAGCAATCAAGAAGTGTATTGTTAGCATTTTAACCAAACATTGTGCTAGCACGGTACAGTTGCCAGAATATATATCTCAGTTAGGGATTGTAATTTGGTGTGTTCGGGTCAAAATTTATGTTGGGTTGCGATCCTCTAATTAAAGTGGGTAATTATTTTTGGATATTTTATTTTAATTGCTTTGATTACAGTGTGACCCTCGACTTGCTAAATGAGTTTGTTAACGTTTAATTTAACTAATTAAGCACATACATCAGAAACTCAGAAACTTAATTGTAATGAAAAAATGTTTTTTAATACAGTTCAAATTATTGTTTGCTTCTATAGAGCGAAAGGCGGCAAAATGGTTTAAATCTTCTTTTTAGAAGTTATGTTAGTGTAAAAAGTATTTGAAATTTTAAATAAGGTATTAAGGGTAATTTTAACTTAATTGAAACTTGACGGACCCATCATCAAAATTTTTTTTCATTTACTTCGTTAGTATACTACTTACTCATTGATATTTATACCCTTGCAGAGGGTATTATAATTTCAGTCAGAAGTTTGCAACGCAGTGAAGGAGACATCTCCGACCCTATAAAGTATATATATTCTTGATCAGCATCACTAGTAGAGTCGATCTAGCCATGTCCGTCTGTCCGTCCGTCTGTCCGTCTGTCCGTCCGTCTGTCCGTCTGTCAGTCTGTCCGTCTGTCCGTCTGTCCGTCCGTTTATATGCAAACTAGTCTCTCAGTTTTAAAGCTAGCTGCATGAAACTTTCCCAAAAGTTGTCTTTCTATTGCAGGTAGTATATAAGTCGGAACGAACCGGATCGGACGACTATAGCATATAGCTCCCATAGGAACAATCGGAAAAATAAATGAAAAAAAATTTAACTTTGCTGTTTTTTAATTTTTTGTTTTGTTCTTCGACGTATAGTAATGGTTAAATATTTCCGATTTACGGTTTAAATTTCATCAAAATCGGACGACTATAGCATATAGCTCCCATAGGAACAATCGGAAAAATAAATGAAAAAAATTATAACTTTGCTGTTTTTTAATTTTTTGTTTAGTCCTTCGACACTTAGTAATGGTTAAATATTTTCGATTAACGGTTTAAATTATATCAAAATCGGACGACTATAGCATATAGCTCCCATAGGAACAATCGGAAAAATAAATGAAAAAAATTATAACTTTTCTGTTTTTTAATTTTTTGTTCAGTTCTTCGACATATAGCAATGGTTAAATTTTTCAAAATTATGGTTTAGATTTTATCAAAATCGGACGTCTATATCATATAGCTCCCCTAGAAATAATAAAAATATACAAATAATCTCCATTTAAACTAGTTCGGCCAAGCAAAACGCATCTCCTCCTACTTTTTCCTTTACGTAAACATCTATAAAGATGCATCGCCCGCTTAAAGATCTCGTATTTTGGCTTGGGTTTTATTTTCTCTTTGGTATGCCCCGATCGCACGCAGCAATAATTGAAACCACTTTAATAATAATATTTGAAACCACTTGAAACCAAAAACTTGTATAATATTGCGCTCCCGTTTGGAGTACCCAATATCAAGTGCACATTGATCGTATTGAGTCGGTACAAAACAAATTTCTTCTTTTTGCCCGTTGTGGTTTGAATTGGGATCAGCAAGAGTAAGGTTGTATTCTTACTCAAGTAGATTACTATTGCTTAATTTACCTACTCTTGTAAATCGTAGAATCATGCTTGGACCTATTTTTATGCACAATCATGTGGAAGGTGATATTGACTCCATAGAATTGGTAAGCCGCTTAACTTTTATTGTGCCTTTTGGACCAACCCGCAACTACCATATTCTTAACTTGCCAACATGTACCTTAAATTTTGGCCTGCATGAGCCTTTTCGTGTTCTTTGTAACAATTATAAAAATCTATATAATCAAATTTGCATTTCAACCACTATCCCTGCACCGTACTTAGTTTTAGTTTTAATACCCTTGCAGAGGGTATAATAATTTCAGTCTGAAGTTTGCAACGCAGTGAAGGAGACATCTCCGACCCTATAAAGTATATATATTCTTGATCAGCATCACTAGGCGAGTCGATCTAGCCATGTCCGTCTGTCCGTCCGTCTGTCCGTCCGTTTATATGCAAACTAGTCTCTCAGTTTTAAAGCTATCTGCATGAAACTTTCCAAAAAGTTGTCTTTCTATTCCAGGTAGTATATAAGTCGGAACGAGCCGGATCGGACGACTATAGCATATATTTCCCATAGGAACAATCGGAAAAATAAATGAAAAAAAATTATAACTCTGCTGTTTTTTAATTCTTTGTTTAGTTCTTCGACATTTAGTAATGGTTAAATATTTCCAATTTACGGTTTAAATTTCATCAAAATCGGACGACTATAGCATATAGCTCCCATAGGAACAATCGGAAAAATAAATGAAAAAAATTATAACTTTGCTGTTTTTCAATTTTTTGTTTAGTTCTTCGACATTTAGTAATGGTTACATATTTCCGATTTACGGTTTAAATTTCATTAAAGTCGGACGACTATATCATATAGCTCCCATAGGAACAATCGGAAAAATAAATGAAAAAAATTATAACTTTTCTGTTTTCTAATTTTTTGTTTAGTTCTTCGACATTTAGTAATGGTTAAATATTTCCGATTTACGGTTTAAATTTCATCAAAATCGGACGACTATAGCATATAGCTCCCATAGGAACAATCGGAAAAATAAATGAAAAAAATTATAACTTTGCTGTTTTTCAATTTTTTGTTTAGTTCTTCGACATTTAGTAATGGTTACGTATTTCCGATTTACGGTTTAAATTTCATCAAAGTCGGACGACTATATCATATAGCTCCCATACGAACAATCGGAAAAATAAATGAAAAAAATTATAACTTTTCTGTTTATTAATTTTATGTTTAGTTCTTCGACATATAGCAATGGTTAAATATTTCAGAATTATAGTTTAAATTTTATCAAAATCGGACGTCTATATCATATAGCTCCCTTAGAAATAATACAAATATATAAAATAACTTTCAAATAATTGAGCTGCAAATCATCATAGCTTCAATGTTTTTAAACATATACGAAAGTAAATCATAATTTGAATGTTTTCAAAAATGTTTAATTCTTGCAATAGCTGCAAGGGTATATGAACTTCGGCTTGCCGAAGTTTGCTTTCTTTCTTGTTTTATAATAATATTATTTTGGTGTGTTCAGGTCGAGCACTTTTAATTTAATTTAAGGAAAATATTTATTGGTATCACACGTTCATTGCTTGGTTACTTAGCTAAAAAACTTAATCAATTTTGTGTCTTTTAATTTTGTTTAAACCTAGTTCAAAAAAGGAGTAATAAACTAACAAGGAAAAAGGCATTTCCAAACACTAAATAAATTATTGTTTTAAGAATTATTAATTTATAAATCGTTGCATATAAAATATAATTCTTGCTACCTGTAAATAGGAAAATATCCCCAACAAAAGAAATTCTGGTATTAATATCTAAAACATCTGATAGGCGTTTTCACCTCATTTGGCTTAAAGTAAAAAATAACAAACTGAGTCCTAAGTCCGCCGTTGAAAGTCTAATCCTGGTGACTGGGCCAGCTTCATGCCAATGTTGTCAACGAAAACGAGGTCCTCATAGCGAAATGATGTGCGTATCTTGAAGTTCCTCAGTATTTTTGCTAGGGCGAGCTTAGAGGACATCAGTCCATATTTCCAGCCTAATTGGAGCAATAATCAAGGATTAATAATATCTTTCATCCAAAAGAAATACAAAACTAACCTATGCAATTTCGTTTTCCCTTTGAAAACGGAAGGAAGGCGTAGGGATGCCTGTCGCGAACATTGTCCGGCAGGAAGTTATCGGGATTGAACTTTGCTGCGTCTGGACCCCAGACCTCCGGGTTGCGGTGAGTGTTGAATATGTCGATGCCAATGGTGACTCCTTTGGGGATGAGAACTCCGTTCGAAAGGCGGAAGTCCTGCAGCGTTTCCCTCGGTGCAAATGGCACGGATGGTATCAGTCGCAAGGTCTCATTCAACACGCGCTCCAAATAGACCATTTTCTGCAGGTCCTCATAGGTCACTTCGAAGTCGCCGGCCGTTGGAAAGAGATCCTTGAGCTCCTCGAAGACCGTATCCTGGTACTGGGGGTACATGGCCAGCAGAGTGAGTGTATGACAGACCGTGAGACCGGTTGTTTCGAAGGCGGCCACGACTATACTACTACATTCACCCTGCACGTGCTCATATGGTATTTGGCCATTCCGGAAAAGTTCAATGGCTCGGTTGATCACAGAGTTGATTTCCGGTTGCGAAGTACCCTCCGGCTTTGAGTTGAGTTTTTTGTCCAGGATCTGCATGGGTAAGATATTAGAATAGTAACATTATTCAGACAGTCAAAACTCACTTTGGTTATCATTTTCTGAATATTAGAGGCGGCCCTCATTCTCTGATCTTCATATCCGCACAGCGTGGAAATTATTTTGTTCTGAGTGAAAGGCATCAAAACATTCATTGTCATCAGTTGTAAAAGCCTAAAAAATATTATTTTTTTTAATTTAAGAATTAGGACTTTAATGATTGTGATTCACTTACGACTGATAACTTCTCAAAATTGTATCGTTCTTAAAGTTTTCCTCATGTTTTATATCAGTGCCCACTGTGGTTTCTGTTGGCCAATATTAGTTGAAAATAAATCATAATATGGGTTTAAGTTTTCAACTTACGAGTGGCTATTCTGAACGACCATCTGACAATATCATTGAGAATCTCTTTTTCACCATGACCAACATAGGTGTCCAGTAAGCTGACCAAAGTTTTTGTCTCCGCATTGAAAATGGGAAGAAAGCTAAGCAAGATATTGTGCTTGAATGTGGGATTCATTTGCTTGCGCCGCTCAATCCACTTGGGTCCTAGTAAAAATTCAATAGATTAAACACGGCTAGAGATAGTGAACTTATTCAAGTACCCTTCAAGGTGAACAATCCATCTCCAGCACTACGAGCAATTGCATCAGCCGCATGCGAACTCCTGTTGATGCATTCCGAAGACAAGAGCACTTCCTCGGCAATCTTTGGATCCCGTGTCACAACAAATGGGTCTGGGCCAACCCAGAGCAGAACGGTTGACCCATACATATCCAAGTACTTGGTTCTGGTGGTCATTTTACCTGTGGTCAAAGTGATATCAATTATTCCCCAATTGGTTGCCCCTTCAGAACACCAGCTTACGTTTGTTGAGGATAAGGTACTCCGCGGCAATGCCCAAAATTGGAAGTCCCAAGGGTCCGGGCACCTTGGCATGCAGCATATACAGCCTTCGTCGACTCCATAGAAAGTATATCCAAAAGAACACCCCAACGGTCAGCAGCAATCCGAATGTCAGCATGGTGAGAAATCCTTATTGAACTTGAAGTTACGAACTCCCTAGAGTTGTTTCATACACTGAGTTCGCTCCTCGGCTTCACCAGAGTTTTATATAAAAAAGTGTGTCTTTTGTGTGATCCCAGCCAATTAAATACATATTAAGACGTGCTAAGTTACTAAAATGTAAGCTCACCTTGAACTGCCCAAACCGAGTCGCGCAGTTCGACTTTGTCCTCTCGGTAGGCATTAAAAAGAAGATTCTGATTAGGTCAAAAGCGAGTAGTTTGCGGTTGGCTTACTTCCGGATTTTAAAGGTATACATTCTATTTCGGGGCTCCAGCTACAGCTACAGCTTCAGCTACAGCTTCAGCCCGATGATCCCCTCAATCGCAGTGCAATCCATCATCCACATTGGGCGAGAAAGCAATTAAGCTCGAGTCGCGTCAACCGCTTACGAGTTTAAGGCGAAGCTTACCCGGCTAAGCCCAAAATCTATTGACAAGAAGCTGCTGGACCGCAACAGGTAACCCCTATCGGAGCGGCAATTAAAGTCTCGAAAAATGTCAGCGGCGATAAATTATTTTTAAGTGCGTTCCCCGAAATGTTGTCAAAAAGTGTTAGAAATTTTCACTTCACCGCAAGCCACACACACACAGCCCGATGCGTGGTGCTTTGCCAAGCGCAGTTCCAAGCGGACTTCCAAGCGGTTCCAAGGTGTTCCATGGTGTCCCAAGGTGTGGCAGGCTGCCCACGAACATGGACTCGGCGCACGCAAGCCTCTCAGATATTCAGGGAGGGGATCGAGAGTCTGGGGATGACGTCTGATAGGCGCGCGATAAGCAACATTACCGTACAATTTTCAATTAACACGCTGGGGAAAAACGCGGGGGGAGAGCGGTGATAAATTCCTCAAAGCCTCGACCCTGGCGCTTGCAGGCACAAAACTGTTCAAGCTGTTCAAACTGTTCATACAACAAATTGTCTAATCGAATGCCCAGCTAGGAACCCAGAGGAGGACATCGTAGTCGTAGTCCTCGGCCAGGTTGGAACTGATCTATGGTAGCCGTTAGTGTCGTCGGCAGTGAAAAGTTGTCGACCTGCACTGGCAAAATACAGTAAATGCAAAGGCAAAGGAAAATGGGGAAAGGAAAATGAAAAGGAGGGAAAATCCAGGCAAATAATCGACAAACGTCCAACAAGCCAACTGGCCGTGGTAGACAATTTATCATCTCGACTTGGGCTTCGGTTTCGCCTCCAGTCCAGTGGCCGTAAAAGCTTCTTTATGGCCGCTTCTGTGCTCTGGCCCCTGGTCACAGGTTCTCGGCACCAGCATTTTACATATTGCCCAGATGGAAGCCGCTCGCCGGGCACAAATCTTTGATTTTATGTTTTGGCTCCACTTTGCCCGCTCAAAATGACATGTTTTCATTTTCGTTTGCGTTTTTCGCCATGGTTTTATGACCCTTTAAATGATTTGCATAATTGAGTTGGAGAGTGCGCGCTTGGACTCTGGATGAGATTTTTGGCAATTGTGTTGGACTTTTGGATTATGGTCCTTATTTTATGTGCACATTTATTATTACCACTTTATATGGTTGGTGGTTTTGGTAATAAACTTAGAACAAAAAACTGTAAAACAAACATTATATTAGCTTTGTTTTTAAACTTAAGAAATATGTTTTTTTAAGCATTAAGCCGATTGATTACTATAAGAAAAATACAAACTATTAAGTATTTTACAGACTTAAATGTTTTATTTAAAGTATACACATTTGCTGTTCTGGGAAAGATATGTAACATTTATAAATTAATATTTTATTACGTTGACAATATTAATCAATATTTGAATACTGCAATTTTGTAGTTTTCTAGGTCATAGTTTTCAATAACAACTATATTTAAAGGTAAATAGGACAGAAATCAAAAATGTATTTATTAATACATTTTACCATTGACAAGATTAATTAACTGTTAAATATTCCATAGCTTCAGTGTTAGTTTATAATAATAACAAGATTTTTTAAGAGGTCATAGCTTACGATGAAAATTCCACTTTCAATGCACTTTCAACCTGTACAGTCAAACTTAATCAACTTTTCAATTTTCCCTAAGCAAACAAACGAAAAGCAGAAAGTGTCTTACCATTTTTCCTATTAGATGCGGCGCTTTCATCATTTTCAGGAGGCGCGTGAGGAGTTCAAAGGTGGCCCAAATGACATCCGTACATCGCCAGTGGCTGGCCAAAATAATGCAGCGGCTCCAGTGAATCTCCACGGAGATGTGGCTACTGCACAGCTGCACATATTGTGTGAGCACATACGACTACGATTCCAACTGCAACTGGGAGTGCAAGTGCCAGTGCAAGTGCAATCGAGATGAAGATGCATCGGGTGAGCACACACGTCCGCTGGCCATGAACTTTGCTCGCCTAACCCCTTCCTGCCGATGCTGAATTTCGGATTGGACCTGCGGCAATTTGAGCACCTGGCGGGCCTCATGTGTGCACTTTCAGAGATCATTTTCCGTTTTCCCCCCAGAGCGCCGCGAATCGAGGTCCATTTGCGTAAATTGAAAATGAAGCGGAAAAAGGATTCAAACACCTGCAAAATTATAACAGAGCAAATCGGACTGCCTAACTAATGGCAGGCTATTGCTTGAGTTGTAAGAGAAGTCCGCTCCGCTCCCATGGACAACTTGGTCCATCCCTCGGGATCTGGTGGATCTGGTAAATCTGGTGGGTGTGTGAAATAGGGCTAAGCTTGCGTGCGGGTTCAAGCTCCCACTTCCTCCCCCCCATGGACATGCATGCGATTCCATTTTGATAATAATGGCACAGCCAAATAATTATAATGATCGTGATCACAATCATCGATGGGAGATGACTAAGCAATTTACCGTTTCTAAGCCGGCTATAGCTATACATTTCTGAGGCCAGACCCCGGGCACATCTTCAATGAAATTTCAGGTCAATTGTCTTGCGGCGGCTGCGTTTGCCTGTTTGTGTTGTGTCTTGCGGTCTGGGATCCGAACTTCAAACTCCAAATCCCAAAAAAAAAAAACCCGAACCTGGGACCCCCAGAACCATAACCAGAACCAGACTTAGACCGCAGCCAGTTCTTGCCCAGTTCGATTGGTTTTTTTTGTTTTATTTTTCGTATTTTTTCGCATTTTCGTGCTTGCGGATTCCCGACATCTAAACAGCAAACCCTCCTCGCCTGCGATTTCAGTGGAGGCCTGCCTGCGTAGGCGCTTTCACAGATTAATTGAAGTCATAAGCAATTGTAAACTTATCGCTTTTCCGTCCGCCGATCCATCCACCAACTGGATAATTCTATAATATTTTCTCTGCGGTTTCCCCACTTCGCCTGCCTTTATCGATTTGCAGTTTGAGTGCTGTTCTTGGTGGTGGTGGTGTTGGCGTTTGGTTAATTTGTTGCTATATTTGATTGTGGCACACTTTGCGCAATTATTTGATTGCGTTTCTATTAAGTCCCGATACAGTTCAAGAGTTCAACAATCAGAAGCTACTCCATTGGCTCCGTTTATTTCGCTCGGCTTCGAGGTTAAATTCTTCTCAGCGATAAGTATTGTGGTTATCAATAGCTTTTTAAGTCTTTAAGCTTTATATTTTTTTAAAATCTGGGATATGAATAAGAAAATAAATAAGTACATGCCAAACAGAGTGTTTTCTAAAATGCTTTTAATTTTGTTTTGTTGAACACGAAAACAGAAAAAACTGTTTAAAAAAAATTATATATTTTTGAGCCAAAATTATAATAATTTTAACTTTAATTAACATTATTATACACTTTTCTCCTTTTGTACAACTATTTGTATAATCCATTGTACTAATTTTGAAAATAAATAAAAATTGCCAAATTGTGTACAATTTTTAATTTAAGTTATTTCTTTTTTAAACTCAACAATAGCAGTACTTCTCTTATAAATAAAGGTTTCTATTAAACGCATATTTTATCGCATGCAACTAAACTTCAACCTGCAACTACTCCGCATAATGTATACTGTGAAAGATGGTAAATTATAACTTATTTGGCCAGGATGGGGGATATAAATCTCGAATTGGGATCCCCAATATCGCAAATTTGTCACTTAGCCAGCTATTACCCATACGCCCAGCCAGCCAGCGAATGCGCCGAACAATGGCAATAATAAAGTTTGGGAAGTGTGCGGCGATGCAGCCCATCCATGACAATGGAGGAAGCGCCAAAGGCAGCAATTACTGAGCGCGTCGGGACGAAAGGATAAAAGCCGGATGCTCGAATATGGGTAATAAATGCGCCACGGCAAGATGATACACTTATCCGCTGCCACACGCACCCACATGATGAGTTAAGGGGCGAATGCTAATGGAAATATGACAAGGAAGCCGCGCTCCATCCTTCAGGCATACGGCATATATGCAAATGGCATGCTAAATGTGTGAGCAGGATGTGCGTCATGTGAATTTAGTGGTTACGGAAGCTGTGCGGCAGTTAAACATGGCGTCTTGCGATTTTATTGCCGCCTTGAAAGTTTACTTACGCTTTGTGGCATAAATGAGCCCAGCGAGCAATGAAGATATGGGGATATGGGGCAGGGGCAGGACGAATTGAAATTCATGGAGCCAACCCCAAAATCTCGGAGCCTGGAGCGTGCCCGAAGCGTTAATCTGAATCAGAGTACATATGGTAAGTCCATGGTTATGGCCAAAACCCCTCCCCAGATCTAACATATGTTTGCTTGTTCACTCGTGTTGTGGCAGCTAAATTGCAGACAAACAATTAAAATGTTTATGCGACTCAAATTGAAAATTAATTGCGGCTGCTCCTTCTGCGGTTTTAATTAATTTTTTTGTTTGCCGAAATTAGGCACGTATGTAAATTATGGAAATCTTGGAAAGTCAGTCTCCAACCCAAGTACAGCTGTAGATTTCTCTCAGCTTGAGATGCGCCAGCCAAGAAAATCATTAGGAGATTGATAAATGGATTTTCGCCACAAATTCGACAAATTTGCTAATCAAACAGATTGCTGGCAGGACATTTTTCACTTCGAGTCTCTGCCGTTCGACAGTTGAAAGGTGTTTTTAATTA